CGGTCACCTCCGATTTCGTCGTCATCAACCAATACACAGTGTCAAATCCCTGTAGCTAATTATAACAATTATTATATATATATATACATACACCTATAATACTACCCGGGTATGTTGAAATAACTTGGAAAAGAAAAATTATGCTACGGTGTGATATGTTCTGGCAATTTTTTTTAATATCAAAATGTTCTGTTTACAATACATCATATAGTCTATATCCTTAACTTACCTGAAAAGGGTACTAAGCTAAAAGTCCAGCTAAAAGAAAATACACACCACGGTCGCATGACCTATAATGATATGATATAATATAGGATAGATATCTATAATTCTATGCCCAACGACGATTTACGTAATTGTATTATGATTATTGTTGTATTGGCCCAGTGTTATTGTTTAAAAAAAAAAAAAAAACGTCTTCTCCAAATTAAAATCTAWGCATAATAATATGTATTGAAATACGCGGTTACATATCAAGATTTGTACATATTATATACATAGAGAGTAGACTGTAATTTCGTTTCGTAGCGTATAGATATTATTATATTGATAGTAGTATAGTACCTATAGTAAATTACAACTACTCTAACGGTATATATTATAATAGTTGAATTTCCTTATACCGGAGTGACGAGTCTGATCATTTTTAACTATATTGAAATTTCAAGTAATATATTACTATAATATATTATGTTACTCGTTTTTGTATTATTGAAATACGTACTATTTTTTTGTCCTGATAACTTTAACTACGTATATGAGTTCTACATTTTTTAAATGAATTGGTATAATTTATATTTTGATTAAAATTCTAAAACCAAGTTATATTTTCAGTTTCAGCRTGTTATTTAAAACCAAAACAACATTTAATTAAATGATTTGTTTTTAATGTCATCCCTRAGAAATACCGAAAATTGTCTATTTACGTTYTTATTTCTTGTCAATTTGTCAAAATTTAAGCATTTAATGGTTTTATAATAAAGTACCTATACTTATATGACTGTCGCCACTTTTGAAAAATTAAATTATATACAATTTTCATTATTTATGGTAGTTTAAACAAGAAACAATTACAAATTACGAGTTTAATAGATAATTAGGAAAATCAAATTTATTGATTAATGAATTGATTTATAAAACCAAGAAATRTTTACTCAAAACTMGTTTTCAAATATCTAAATTKATTTTATTTTTTTGYAACTTAGAAATATAATTCAAAATATTTTTGCTTTTTTGGTTATTTATTAATAGTTATTTTTTGTTTTGATATATGTTGATAAAATTGTTGTTTTTGTCAACCATTTTATAAATTCAATACAAAGTTACTTAAAATTTGGTAGTATTCTTATGAACGTTGAACATTTTAATACATTGAAAATACAAGTGCATATTCTTGATAAATTTTTTTTTTTTTTGTAAAAATTGAAGTTTGAATTTCAACAAAATTGTATTCATAAACGAAAAATGACGATTTTTATAAATTTGATTTTAGTTATTATWAGTGCAATTCAAAAAAATCTTAATCATAGACACTTTAATTTTTCCTTTGATATTAGTGCTGAATTTATAACAATGGGTTTGGAGAAAGAAGTCGACGTATACTTTTATTTGAGACTTAAATAATTTGATGCCCGCAATATAAAAATGCATTTTTACCATTCAAATATTTTTTTTTAAAACCTAAGAATATTTTGTTTGATATTTATTATATTATAAGATACGGCTCGATTAATAAGTATATTATTTTGATCTGATCGAGAAATGTTCGCGATTACTATCTAAAAAAAATGAAAGTGRAAAATTTGACATGATATTTTCTATTTTATGTACTTCCGTCTTCCGAGAACAAACATAGACAATCGAATTAGTGCATAACTTGTCAGGTGACACACTCGTATATGTTCTTAACAAATTGACAACAAAGGTTTATTATGTAATGCAAATTTTTTTTTATTTTTTAGAAGGCTAATAAAATTACAAAAATATATACAATGGATAACTACGAATGCAATTAAATAATACGCTAATTATGTCTCGCGTGTGTGTGTGCAGTTTTTAGTGTTTTTTTTTATAATATTAATTGGATATTACAATACAAGTCATAAACTCATTGTTCTTTTACATTCTTAGACATGTTTGACGTAATGGATTGTTATAATATCATATTATAGTGGCGTTGGTGCAGGTTGGTCGTCACAACTCGTACAAGATAATAAATTCGTCGATGAGCAAAAAATCTTTTACGCAATACAGCTACACGACTTGACTTCAACAAATCGCTTAATAAAATATATTTTATTGCACTGATATATAATCATGGTTGAGACCGTCGTCACGCCGCAATTTATCTATGTAGACTATATGATATAATAATTATAAGGCTCGAATGACTGTAACTTGGAGAAATCGACAAAATGCCTATACATTTAAACTGCACTCAGACAATTACTGATAAACGTACAAATCAAGTGGCGTAACCCGCAAGAGGTGAAAGATTCCCGAGTTTGACCCCCTTCCCTGGCATGAGTAAAATTTAAGTATCCATAAAATCGTATAAGGTAATACATATTTTTATTTAGTGTTATTGTTTATAATTAATCTGTTAATCAATCGGTAATAATAAGTATTTATCTTATTTTTTCGTATGACTCTGCAATAAACTATTGACAGTTGATTATAAAAKCATAATATTAATAAGTACTTTAGAGTAAAAYAGTAAAGTCTATATTATGTTAAAGTACAGGTAACACACATAGAACCTAATAATAATGGATTCCGCATGCAGTCGATAGCGTTTGGACTTTGGGGTTACGTTTGCAATGTCCTCGGAATAATTGTAATATGCATAATATATGTACACAAAACGATCGCCGTACTAGCGTGGCGTAGTTCTGCACTTCACTGCATAGTGCACGGCATGGTGACGTGAAGTAAATTTATATAATATCAACTGGTATGATATATATAGCTAATAATCATGGTAAACTGACTGCCCAAGTACTAAAGGCCACTACCTATACCAATATTATACGTTTAAAATAATATATAAACCTATCAACACAATAAATAATCATTGCTGTGCAGACGCGCGTGGATCACAATAAAATACTACAGAGAAAGAGAGCCCATCATATACGTCATCATGACGTTATACTTCGTCATGTAACTTTATTATGGGTGTCAATTAAACATCATMAACTTATTATAAATAAGCGTCAAAGCGTGTACAGCGATGTTTAATTTATTTTTATTAATCTTTTTGATCTACATTTATTCCTAGAATAATACCAACGTTTTCAATGATCTCCTGCAGCGTCTCGTTCGTATAATTCTGACCTGTATCCGAATCTTGCACAAGAMCGGCATCATATCAATCGCTTTAAAGACACTTTAGACGCGCGTGGCCTCCAGCGTGACGGCTGTGTGTGTGCGTTTTTTTTTTTTTTTTTAATTTTGTATTTCCATTTTAATAAAACGTCCATCGGTCGAAATTACAACCTTGCCATAATACGAGCCTCGAGGTGCCGGTCGCACGACGATGGCGCATATTATTCATATAAAGTATATAAAGTATATATATATATATATTTAGATAGGTATAATAATACTAATAATATGTATCTACACATTTATTTTTTTTATTCGAGTTCAATTATTAATATTAAAAGAAAAAAAAATTAAGAAAAACCGGAACTTGATTTGAAGGCGGTGTTCCGCACGCGCCCGAAGTTGAAAAATAAAAACACATGCGCTGAAAGAATATAATAACATACGTTAGGTATACGTATAGAATTATTATACATCGTAGACAGAGACTGCAACAAACGAAAATAGGGAACGTTATGCGAAACCGGAAGAACGACATTTAAAAGATTATAATATGTATATATATCGTATCGGCTGTTATAGGTATGCCTATTAACTAAGACTTTATATTATGTCAAAAAAAAAAATATATATATATATATAGGTAGGTACTGAAATACTGATGCACTGTTATACTTTTATTTACATAAGTATATAATAACATTAAATTCCTAGGCATATAACAAGTGTCATGTATATACCTAATATACGAATTTTCGAGTTCATTAATTCAATGTGAAATCAACYAGGTAGGTATCAAAAAAATTACACAAGTATCTACAATATCTTAATATATTTGTTGTGGCCGTATATATTGTTTATAATATTATATTTATATACGATTCGTGTATTATGTATATATTATAATGAGTAATGACTACATACGTTATATTTTTATATTTTTAAGAATTATTCAATTAATTCAGTTAATAATTTAAAAAAATTGCATGCTTAAAAAATGTTATATGAAAAATTGAAATCGCAAATAATACGTTGAATGTGAATCTCAGCACTTAAAAATTTAATTATTTTGACTTTTGAGTTCCGGCACCTATATTGATATTGGTAAATTTATACTTAAAGTATTATGCAATCTACAATCGTTTAAATATACTTATTTATCTAAATAAATTTAACTATCTTACAAAAATAAATGTGTAAATCAACCGTTGCAAAGCTTTTTTCTCGTAATTATAATTTATTGTTATTTGTTACTGTGGATAGTTAAAAATTAAAATGTATAACATTAAGTTTTCTTYCGCAACTCAATACGTCAACGAACGTGTATAATATTAACAATAATATTAAAAATCAATTTATTGGCCAGAAAAACAGTTTGAACATGTTTTAATAGTAATAGTGTTTAAACAATTACACATAATTGCTAAAATAGTAATTAACCATGTATGGCAATTAAATTAGAATAATAATGTATCAGTATGTTTAGAACGTTGTCGTATCCATTTGATAATAAATAATAATTCATCCACATAACTACTGCCTAACTAACGAATTATTCAAATCGTGTAGATACACGATAAAGGTATACGATTATAATAAATCGTAATATTATTTAGCACGTGTCTCTATATAATATACGTATATATTATACTCATCGTGGAGTTTTATTGCAGGGAAACAGTGTTATTCGTCCAGTGGCCTTCAAGCCGGGTTCAATGAGATTCACCGACAACGGCGAAAGATATGGCTCCACACCTATCCTGGCTAGATCCTCGCACAGACATCTGTACGGCAGTAAGTACATTTATAACATAACAGTATACATATTATAATGAAATTTTCCTGCATACATAGCCGTTTGCAAACKTATACAATAAAATAACAGACACTCTAAWGACCTRTGCGATATAAACGAACTCCAACRTATACATTATGGCATAATATATTTATATGCCTAACGCTAGTTATARGTATTTTCCGAAAGATAAATTCAACGGTTATTTAATATATCCTCTGTTGTTTGAGCTACAACGATGTATATATGTATACATACAACAAAATATATGTTGTTGTTTCTGTTATACGATTTTGTAGCCGCTAAAATGCTTAATTTTTTTATGTGGTTTTCAAAAAAAAAAAAAATTGATCTATTTTATATAGTTTTCGGTGAGGGACAGTGGATGATTGCCGATTGGAGGTCAAAAGTATAAAGTTAAAAAAAACAATAACAAGCACAGTTAATTGAATAAAAAACAATTATTTATTATTTTCTATTTCATATTATTATATAAATGGGTTGTTACTATATTTTCGTATCCCCTGACTTCTAAGTTCTAACTTATCATTGCATTAAAATTTAACACATCCATTACAGTGGCCTCTTATCTTCTCAATGCCGAGGTACAATCAAAGCATATATATAGCAGCGTGACTTCTTTGATTTTTTAAATTTTATTTCTATATAGTTTACATAGGTATCTAGCTGTCTATATAGGTGGTACACGTTCGTATAATATATGTAGGTACATCGTAATTTCCACACAGTTTTTGTCTATACCGTGCAATTCAGCTGATGCTTCTTAGGTCATACTGGGGACTTGTAGAAGTTATTTATTTTTACTCCGTCCGACTTGCCTACATATACTTCGAATCTAAMAGCAATTTGACACGGGCTTGAATTTGATAAAACTGCAAATTAAATTCTCGACACCCRAAATCAAACTGAGTGCCTCTCGTCTTATTACCACAACATATCTTAGCAACCGGTCCGATCGGCCACAGGCGAACTCGATRCGMGTACCATAAAATATAATTAATTTACAATAATACTATTAATTTAGAATTTATTGGCTCTTTTTGGAACATTTGGTGGTACCAACATATTAAACTAAACTCGAGTAATTTATAAACGGATATCATTATAGTTCACCACACATTTTTAACTTACGTCTCACTTCACATCATAATATATGACCGTAAGTGATGATATTCTACATGTATACGGTTTTTGTTGAGTATAAATTCAAATGTGTAACTATTTAAATTTTAAACTAAAATTAAATATACATTTTAAATGTATTTTAAATGTATGTTCAATATACTATAGGTACCAATGAACTGCACCATCAATCTAAGAAACCAAATATGATATCTTCTGGCACTTTAGATCGAAAACTTCGTTCAGCATCTCCAATGGTGATGTCGTCGTTACCGGCTCAAACCAGTTGCAAATTTCGGCTGGGGCAGCAAGACGATTTCAAATCATCCTCTTCATACAGTTCCTATAGAGATTATCGACCTAGGTATAGAACACTGAAGTGCTAATATTGTATATATATATTATACGTCCGCGCATTGATGTGAAATCTTTTTTTTTAGCTCGAAGTCATTTGCGAGGCTCAGTAAACGGTGCTCGGCGTCCGAAGGGTCAGCCAGTCTGTTGGACTTGACCCCTTCGCCATCCGAATCTACAATGTTATCCGAAATGGAAACAGTGTTGAGAGATAGGGATCGTGAATTGAGGCATCTGAGGCAAACGATGGAGCACAACGAACAAGTGATCTTCAGAGTTTACCAAGAAAAAGAAAACGCGTGGGACAGAGAAATGCGGAGGATTAAAGCAATGGGCGATAATCGTCTTAAGACAGCTGCGCAAAAGTCACTGAAGTTGGAACAAATGCTTATGATGCAGACGTACAAGGTAAATATATTATATCGAGATATTATTAAATATCACAGGTGTGCAAAATTGTAATATCATAATACCGTGTTTGATGTATAATATATATCTAATCGTCTTGTATATATCAGTTGCAGGACGAAAAAAAGAGATTACAAGAAGAAAATGAACGTTTGGAGTCCGAGGCGACAGATTTGAAAAAAGAAGTTGACGAATTGAAGGTGAGACTCGAGGAAACTGAATGGGGACTGTGTCAGAAATCCGGAGAACTTTCACACGTAAAATCACAATTGAAAGATACTCAAGTAAGATATTAAATATAAATAGCTTAATAAATAATTATTAAAATCCATTATAATATATACATTATACACATGTGATATATTCAGTGGTGAGAGAGTAGAATTTTTAAAATTTAATTATATCTATTAGGTCAAATTTACAAAGCTATATAATAGWTAATAATTTGTAATAATAGGTAAATAACTGAATTCTTCAAATATAAATATCATTATTTTACATAATTTTAATTTTTGTAACCTAAAGTTAACTGTTTGTGTGACAATATTGCACATTTACTTTATCATAATTAAAAAAATAAATAAAAAGAAACAATAAAATTTCGTACAATACTTCAATATCAATACGATCAAAATTGTTTATATATACAAAAAAAAAAACAACACTTAATGGTAGCGATCGGCACCTCAACTCCCGCAAATACGATTTTTCTGGCGCGATGTAATAAATATTTAATAGATGATTTGAAATGATACAACATTATGTCACATTTCACAATACTAAAGTTCGTTCGCATTGACTTTCAGAACGAACTTACGACAAAGGGCCATGAAGTGATCGCGTTAAAATCGGAAATCCGAGACCTGTTACAAAAGCTTGAATCAAAAGAACGHCGCATCGACGAGATTGAAGGGAGACGTCCGGAAAGACGTGACAGCGGCAATGGTGGTGACGGAAATTGCTGCGATGACCAATTGGCGGCAGACAAACTATGCTCTCTCGTCGGACGCCTCAACGAACAAGTAAGTTGTTAGACCGTTAACTTTGACTTTCACAACTCGAATTGATGTTCACGATAATACATTAATAATACCGACATTTTCACTATAAATATAATAACGAAAAGTATAGGCAGTGTTAATAATGTACTAAATAAATATATGCGTGGTATTGTAATAGACGCGTTTTGCATGTGCGCAGGTAGAAAACGAGTTGAACAAATCAAACAAATTATTATCCGGATGCTACAGTACCGAAGACTTGCATTCATTGTTGCCGAAGAAGGACACGGAGACGGATACGCCACTGGAGAGATTCAGGGAACTGGAACGGCACACGGCCAAATTGATCCGGGTGCTGAACGAGGAACGTAAGAACTGGGATCAGGAGAGGCTGAAGTGGTTCCAGGAGAAAGAGAAAGTGTTGTGTTACCAAAGGCAGCTCCAGATGAACTACGTGCAAATGTTCAGGAGGACGCAGGCGTTTGAGGCACAGATTGAGAACCTCACGGTCCAAATGAACGTGTGTTCGGACCACTGCACCAGCGGCAAGAACGCCGCTAGAAAAACAGGCGCCACCACAGTGAAGACCATAAACGCCATTAAACTATAGGAAGATTTGTTTTTATTGAAAGCCCGTCGTGTGGGAAGTTACATTATATTGTTGTGTGGAGTTTTTACCATTTATTATTATTTCTTATTATGTTTATATTTTATTGTCTTTTATATTTTCGACATTATATGTCATATTGGTACCTAGTTATGATTTTCTGTATAGTAGCAATATGTATTGTGAATACTTATTCGATAAGCTACATCAATCATTTTGTGTAATTAAAAGTACAAGTTTTAACAGGATAAGTACTTTTTATGATTTACTTTTTTATAAGTAATTAAAAATACTGTACTGTTATTCGTTTATTATTTAAAACGATCACGATTTTTTAATCATTTTGAAATTTAAACAAAATTGAAAGTAATTTGAAGTATACACTAGTAATAAGATGTTAGTAATGCTACTTATTGATTAATAAAAGTTCTGTAACTTGACGGAAATAGATTGTTCAAAATGCTTCACRCACATTATGAATTTAACTAATTGGTACATAAGCATCTAACAAGATGCTCCGTAATAAAGTATCGAGAAAAAATAGTGTTTGAAAAGTTCAGTTAAAAATTGAATTCGTTTCATGTGTGAAAAACTAAGTAATTTGTGTTCTCTGTTAAAAAAAAAATGAAGAGATTAATTTGGTCCTAAGTTTTAATTTGTAATCATTAATTTATAAATCTTTAAATAAAACTTTGAGAAAGTATATATAAACAAATAACAATTTAAAAAAACTTTTTTTTATGTGTGTAAAGATTAAATAAATATAATGAATATATTAAGTTTAAGAGAAATTATGAGATCGTAGTTACCTTGGTGTTATTGATATCACAAAAAAAGAAGATTATTATAGTTTTGAATTTAAATTTTAAAGTCGAAATTTTTCCATTTCTATTTTAGTTATCAGTTCATATAACCTACTTATAGTCAGTTATAAAAAGGTAGGTAAGTGGAAACTGCTCTACAGTACACTAGGAGTCGTGTAGATCGGTCACTATAATGGATGCGTGATGATTTCAATTCAATAATATAAAATCATTGTATACACAAGAATGTTAATTGACAGCTTAGCTCTAATATAAAGTAATAAAAATTAATTTCAATGATGTCAAACTTTTTTTGTGTACTCATAATTATTAACCAATAACAAAAAATCGCTATAATTATTACAATCAATAATAGTTCAATTTAAGTTAACATGCAGGCCAAATTTTTTATAATACATCAGATTTTGAATGTAATTGCATATATTTCTCCAGTTTTTTTTTAACAAAATGTCAAAATGTGTGTAAAATACACTTGCCAATAATCACCAGTCAGATATACTATATATATATATATATACTATCGAATTGTAAGGAAATATAAAACAGTATTACATATTCATCATTTATGTTACAGTTTTTCCTTTTATAGAGATTCCCAATTATTAGGAAAATTAAATGCAATATTTCACTTTTGATTCTCCCTTTGATTACACTTTTTACCATAAACAATATTGGAGTTGAAKACTTTATGCAGCCTCTGCTTGTCGCTTTATACAACAATTTGAATTTGGATCTATAATAAACTATTCTGGAAACTATCAAACAAAAAAACGTTCTAAATGGCGTGACAAAATAACGATTAGAATTATTGACATTGTGTTAATAAAATAAAATAATAAATAATATAATAATAACATAATATACTCGTGGTATATTGTTTTACACAAGGTCCACCATAAGTTTTTCTTTTCTTATATCTCTAACGAAAAAAATGAAATCAATTTATATTTTATACTATCATTTTTTAGTTTTTATACATTGTATAATTTTCAAATTAGTTAGGAGCTGTTTATAGAAATTTTAAATTTTAAATTTGAGTTTTTTTTTCTACTAATGTTGAAGAAAAAATGTTCACTATATGAAAATGCATGAGATTTTAGTAATATCTGCAATACTGCAATACTGCTGTTTATATGTTTTTATTATAGTCATTTCCAAATACTATAAAGAAATAAGGTGCATGCAATATACAAACATTTGAAGATCACATGTTGAAAAAATTCGTTAAAATTGCGAAAATTCGCAAATTATTATGTAGTTCGAAGTATATAAAATGTTAAATGAAAAAAACAGCTAAGTAGTAGAAACCAAAATTTCTAAACATATATAACCACGATGATTTCTTTGAAGTCATTATAAGTTCAAATTAGGCGTAAATCACATATTTAAACGAAGAATTACAATGTTAGTGATTTTGTTGTAATTCACAAACATTATTCGTGGGAACTTAAACTGATACCTACATATAAACATACGATATATGTATACATTCTAAATTTTAGTATAGAAACGCGATGATATTTTGATTAATTTTAAGCTATTAACCTATTTATACCATGATCATATCAAACTGTTTTAAGGAACTGTGGTATTGTTTAAAAAAATAGTAAGAATAAAATACACCATTATTACAATATTTAGATAATTTGTAGAGGACATTATATCGTAATATAATGCCGTTTAATGACATCTATTTTTASGGAATTGTTATCTTTTTATTTAGATTAGTGTTTTGATAGTGTTTAAGGAATTTAAATTTGGATTCATCACTAATAAATAATTACCCTTTGTTTCTTTGGTGCACTTTGAATTCATTAAAATGTCTTTTTTTATTTTATTTTCACTATTAGAATTAAGATTTCATAATTTAAATATTTCAAAATATCAAATTTACACTCAATGCTTCAATAAATCATTTTAAACTGAGGCCACTTGGCAGCACACCCTCGCTAGTTGCAAGGTTGCAACTCAGCACCAAACAAATAACTGTTATTCTAATAAATAATTCAAAATATAAATGATTTATAGAATCTTTTATTTCAAGTACAATATAATATTTTTTATTTTTAATGCCTACAAAACAATTCAAAATAGCCAATTTGTAAATATAATTTTTAGAAAAATGTTTTTCGTAAAATATTTTCTAGCATAAATAAATCTTGAATTATTTGCTATATCCATAAAATTTCCACAGTTTTTATAATATGTTTAACTAGAATCAATATTTTATTTTTCATTTGTCTGAAATTCAACTGTTACACTTAGTAAATAATGTTTTTTACATTTTTCACACAAACCTAATGCGTGGACGGCGCATTATATAGGCAATATAGGTACATTACTGCAATGTTAAATAGTCCACAGTCCCAGTGATTAAAACGGCATGTTGCATGATTGTAATATTATAATATTATGTATGTTGAAAATCAATCAAGTCTATCGTCATTCGATCATCAATGTATAATAATTTGTATTACAAGTCCAATACAGTTATACGGATAACGATAAGTAGTGTATAATGTAATTTGTCATTAATTGTTATTATAAATTGTATATTAATAATTTACATTTACCTCACACAAGTGTCGCAATAGTGACACGATACTTGCGGTGGCCACTATGAATGGTCAATGAGGTTAGTACCTATTTACAATCTACTTAAGTACTTATCCTCTTAACCTGCAGTATTAGTACACCTATACTTGAATCTATAACAATTAATCTGTATCCACATCATATATTCGAATTTCGAAAACTATTTTTTATTTCAAAGAAGAGAACATTTTGCAAGTACCTACCTATGATCAAAGCCCGATTTTCATTATTATAACTATAGAAGCTCAAAATCTTTAAAAAGTATACAATAATTGTTATTTTTCAAGCACTATAAGAAGTGGAATAAAAATTCGGGCTTTAACCTGACTTGCAAAAAGTTATCATCTTTAAAATAAAAAAAAAATGACTAAAATCTGAAATATGAACGATCTTTTCTATGAAAWAATTTTTTATAATACACTGTATCAATCCCACATCCCACCTAAATAAGTATCAGTTGATTAGTGGAAAAATATTATAATTATCTGAGGTAGTAACTATGTCATTTTCAAATAGGACAAAATTGCAGGAAATTTAAAAAACCGGCTCCCACACCCTTATGAAGAAGAATTTGATACGTGTCTTAAAAAGTGTCTGCTTAATATTCTTTATAGCATACACTACATAATTATATTCACCAACTGGTGAAAAGTGACGTGTTTTGTTCGAATCCAGAATTGGAATTCAGGTAACGCATTTTTTTCGTTTGAAATTCATAATAGTCTCTTGAGGAGTAGTTTTTCCGTGATTTTTCCAAACACTGGTAAAATGCTGATTGTCCTACACGAGTCCACTTTATTAGGAGGCTTGCTGGGTTTAAGGATTGGAATAATAACGACTGACTTCCAAGTGGAGGGAAGGTATAATAGACGAAGGGAGTCATTGTAGATATGAGTGAGTTGAATAATAGCTTTGGCCGGGATATTTTTAACAATTGTATTGCTGATTTGCTCGTGGCCTGATTTGTTGGTCTTGATTGTTTTGATAATTGAAGAGATATCGTTAATAGTGGTATATATGGCAGATAGGGCCATATGGAGTGACGAAGTGATAAATTTGTTCACTTGTTCTACATAAGAGATGTCCGAAAGGATAGAGTATGGTTTGTAGACGTTGGAAATATTTAAAGCTAGCAGTTCAGCATTTTCATAAGAAGAGACAGTGAGGTTACAGTTTTGATGTTGAAGAGAAGGAGAGATTGTCCTATATCTGAATATGGATTTAATTTTTTCCATAAAGAACCATAATTTGGCGATAGTGAAGATAAGTGTGATTCATAAAGATAATTTTTATGTTTCGTGAGAAGTTTTTTAAGTGTTTTTTTTTTTTTCAAAAACAATCTGTACAACAAGCACATTTAGTAATTTTGATATAGAATATATACATAATTTTGTTTTTAAAAAAACAACAACTTTTAAGGAAGTCACCCCCATTGATAACAC